CCCAAGACCTTGCCAATGCAAGCTTGTCGTCAACTTTCGGGACCAACTCCCACGCCTTGAGACGCAGATTTTGCAGAATTTTAAATGGCGATCATTGGTGATCCTTGGTACGTGTTTCAACCCTTTCATAGCTAGTGCCAAAGGCAAAGTACCAAAATCAGTGAGCTAGCATGAATTGGCCATGAGAGACTGCATATACAATGCCAGCTGATGCCAGTTGCACATTTATTGAGAGTACGGGGCTGCGACTCCATGAGTAATATGTTTCTTTGATTTCCTTGTGCTGTGCACTAAAATAATATTTGCTCCGGTAAACCAAATAAGCTAAAGGCTAAAGCAGCTTCTCTGTTGTCCATCCCGACCTCGCCACTGTCGCTCGCATGGTGTGGCATCTTACTCGGATGATCTCGGATGTAGACTGCTTTTAGACTGAAATTGTGAACTCCGAGAAGGATGAAACATGATGAAACACGTTCCGACCCCACAAACAGGTCCATCAGAATGGTTTTTCTGCCAGCTGGTCCGCTGGTCAAACTCGTTGGCACAAGAGGTGAACTTGAATTATTGGGGCATTTGCTAAAGGAATTCAAAATGTTCTCGGGTGTTGCAGCTGCACAAGCAGCGTAAACAGGTTCTTCATTAAAAAGTCCATGTAGCTGCGAAGCTTCGCTGCCCAGGGTTGCTGGCGTTTTCTTTTATTTTTTGGATGGGTGACACATTGAGTTCTGGGTGCAAAAGAATGGGTCTTCTGTCTCATGTTGCAACAAACATATATATATATACTATAAATAAAATAAATAAATAAATAAATATATATATATATACACAAATAAATATACAGATATACACATAGGATTGCGTATCATCACATAGATAGATAGATAGATAGATAGATCGATAGATCGATAGATCGATAGATTCGATTAGATTAGATTAGATTAGATTAGATTAGATAGATTAGATAGATAGATGAGATAGATGAGATAGATGAGATAGATAGATGAGATAGATAGATGAGATAGATGAGATAGATGAGATAGATGAGATAGATAGATGAGATGAGATGAGATGAGATGAGATGAGATGAGATGAGATGAGATAGATAGATGAGATAGATAGATGAGATGAGATGAGATGAGATGAGATGAGGTGAGGTGAGGTGAGGTGAGATGAGATGAGATGAGAATAGATAGATAGACAGACAGACAGATAGACAGACAGATAGATATGTACTATGATATACTGTAGTGTTCGGAACTTCCAATTTGCCACAAGTGGGGGTCCTCGTTCGCACCTTGATTTGAAACCTCATCCGCAGTCATCCTGCCCGGGTTCCAACTCCAAACCTTTGAGCGGAACCTCTCTCAGAGCCCTCAGGAAACATACCAGGTTCCAGTAGTTCTTAAAGTTTTTACATCATTCTCAGAACCCCTCCTCTCCTTCCCAAAACCAGTACTATCACCAGCTTGCAGCACCCTGGTTGGATTGGATGGGGAACCCTTCAGATTCCTCGGTCTCTGAGGTTTTGGGTTTCCAAATTCCAGAGGTTTCCAGGAGGAAAGGATTTCTCAAGGCTTCAAAGGTCGGAATGGATTTCAGGGGTTGGATTCAGGGAGCAAAAATGCAGAGTCTTTGCAGGACCTCTCGAAACATGAGAGTTGCGGAAGCGGGAGGGTTTCAGATCGACATGTTTCGACTTTTCGACATGTTGTGACTCATGCCGGACTAAGTCGCATGACTAATCAAAGGAAGTTTGAAGGTCTAACTTTCATGTTACGGATTTTTGGAAGTCATTGATTTAAAAGCCAAGAGCTCCAACAGCCAAGAGATCTCGCAGCCAAGAGATCTCACAGCCAAGAGATCTCACAGCCAAGAGATCTCACAGCCAAGAGATCTCGCAGCCAAGAGATTTCACAGCCAAGAGGTCTCACAGCCAAGAGATTTCACAGCCAAGAAGTCTTAGAGCCAAGAGATCTCACAGCCAAGAAGTCTTAGAGCCAAGAGATCTCACAGCCAAGAGATCTCACAGCCAAGAGATCTCACAGCCAAGAGATCTCACAGCCAAGAGATCTCACAGCCAAGAGATCTCACAGCCAAGAGATCTCACAGCCAAGAGATCTCACAGCCAAGAGATCTCACAGCCAAGAGATCTCAAAGCCAAGAGATCTCACAGCCTCACAGAGATCTCACAGCCAAGAGATCCCACAGCCAAGAGATCTCACAGCCAAGCTTCGTTGTCACATCTTCCACTTTCAGGTTTTGAGGGATGTCTCGCACGAAAACTTCGATTTCACATTTTCCACTTTCACTTTTCAGGGAGGTCTCGCACTAAAGCTTCGTTTTCACATCTTCAACTTTCACTTTTTCAGGGAGGTCTCGCACGAAAGCTTCGTGTTCACATCTTCAACTTTCACTTTTTCAGGGAGGTCTCGCACGAAAGCTTCGTTTTCACATCTTCAACTTTCAGATTTTGAGGGAGGTCTCGCACGAAAGCTTCATTTTCACATCTTCAACTTTCAGATTTTGAGGGGCGTCTCAAGTCTCGCACGCAAGCGGCTTCCTTTTCACATCTTCCACTTTCACTTTTTCAGGGAGATCTCGCACGAAAGCTTCGTTTTCACATCTTCAACTTTCAGATTTTGAGGGACGTCTCAAGTCTCGCACGAAAGCTTCGCCCTCACATCTTCAACTTTCAGATTTTGAAGGAGGTCTCGCACGAAAGCTTCGTTTTCACATCTTCCACTTTCACTTTTTCAGAGAGGTCTTGCACGAAAGCTTCGTTTTCACATCTTCAACTTTCAGATTTTGAGAGAGGTCTCGCACGACAGCTTCATTTTCACATCTTCAACTTTCAGATTTTGAGGGACGTCTCAAGTCTCGCACGAAAGCTTCGTTTTCACATCTTCCACTTTCACTTTTTCAGGGAGGTCTCGCACGAAAGCTTCGTTTTCACATTTTCAACTTTCAGATTTTGAGGGGCGTCTCAAGTCTCGCACGCAAGCGGCTTCCTTTTCACATCTTCCACTTTCACTTTTTCAGGGAGGTCTCGCCCTCGCACGAAAGCTTCGTTTTCACATCTTCAACTTTCAGATTTTCAGGGAGGTCTCGCACGAAAGCTACGTTTTCACATCTTCAACTGTCGGAATTTGAAGGAGGTCTCGCACGCAAGCTTCGTTTTCACATCTTCCACTTTCACTTTTTCAGAGAGGTCTTGCACGAAAGCTTCGTTTTCACATCTTCAACTTTCAGATTTTTAGGGACGTCTCAAGTCTCGCACGAAAGCTTCGTTTTCACAGCTTCAACTTTCAGATTTTCAGGGAGGTCTCGCACGAAAGCTTCGTTTTCACATCTTCAACTTTCAGATTTTCAGGGAGGTCTCAAGTCTCGCACGAAAGCTACGTTTTCACATCTTCAACTGTCGGAATTTGAGGAGGTCTCGCACGAAAGCTTCGTTTTGCCACTTGCAGATTTTGAAGGAGGTCTCTCACGAAAGCTTCGTTTTCACATCTTCAACTGTCGCCGAGATCTGCTGTTGGAGCTGCAGTTCTATTGCGCTTTGCAACTCAGTGTCTGCAGATCGCATTGTAGTGGCTGCGTCAAGGTTGCTGGGCGCCGCGGCTGTATGCGTAAGACTATTCTCTTTTGCAGCTGGGCATCGTAAATCGTATTGGAGTGGCTGCATCAAGGCTACGACAGTGATTTGTCAGCAGATTTTCTCAATTTTGGTGCTGGTGATTTTCGGGTTTTGGAGCTGCAAGTTCTGACGCCCGTGCACGTAGTTCTATTGTGTTTCGCAACTCAATCTTTGCAGATTGCATTGTAATTTATGGCTGCGTCAAGGTTGCTTGGCGCCGCGGCTGCGTGCGTAAGACTATTGTCTTTCGGAGCTGGACATCGTAAATCGTATTGGAGTGGCTGCATCAAGGCTACGACAGTGATTTGTCAGCAGATTTTCTCAATTTTGGTGCTGGTGATTTTCGGGTTTTGGAGCTGCAAGTTCTGACGCCCGTGCACGTAGTTCTATTGTGTTTCGCAACTCAATCTTTGCAGATTGCATTGTAATTTATGGCTGCGTCAAGGTTGCTTGGCGCCGCGGCTGCGTGCGTAAGACTATTGTCTTTCGGAGCTGGACATCGTAAATCGCATTGGAGTGGCTGCATCAAGGTTGCAATTGTGATTTGTCAGCGGAATTTCTCAGTTTAAAGCTTGCCGTGTGTAAAATCTTCTCTGTGTACAAGCTTCTCAGTGTAAATGCTTCTCTGTGAAAGGGCTTCTCTGTGTAAAAGCTTCTCTGTGTAAAAGCTGGCTGTGTGCAAAGCTTCTGTGTAAAAGTTTGCTGTGTGTAAAAGCTTCTCTGTGTAAATGCTTCTCTGTGTGAAAGCTTGCTCTGTGCAAAAGCTTTCTGTGAATAAAAGCTTCTCTGTGTAAAAGCTGGCCTCTGTGTACAAGCTTGCTGTGTGTAAAAGCTTCTGTGTGTAAAGGCTTCTGTGTGTAAAAGCTCCTCTGTGTAAATACTTCTCTGTGTAAGGGCTTCTCTGTGCCAAAGCTTGCTGTGTAAAAGCTTCTCTGTGTAAATGCTTCTCTGTGCGAGGGCTTCTCTGTGTAAAAGCTGGCGCTGTGTAAATGCATCTGTGTGTAACAGCTTCTCTGTGGAAATGCTTCTTTTTGCAAGGGCTTCTCTGTGTAAAAGCATCCGTGTGTAAAAGCTTCTCTATGTAAATGCTTCTCTGTGTTAGGGCTTCTCTTTGTAAAAGCTTCTCTGTGTAAAAGCTGGCTGTGTGTAAAAGCTTCTGTGTGTAAAAGCTTCTCTGTGTATATACACGCTTCTCTGTGTAAGGGCTTCTTCTCTGTGCAAAAGTTTGCTGCGTAAAAGCTCCTCTGTGTAAATGCTTCTCTGTGTGAAGGCTTCTCTTTGTGAAAGCTTGCTGTGTGTAAAGCTTCTGTGTACAAAAGCTTTTCTGTGCAAAAGCTTCTCTGTGTAAAGTTTGCTGTGTGTAAAAGTTTCCGTGTGTAAAAGCTGGCGGTGTGCAAAAGCTTCCGTGCGTAATGCTTCTGTGTGTAAGGGCTTCTCTGTGTAAAAGTTTGCTCTGGGTAAAGGCTTTCTGTGAATAAAAACTTCCCTAACTCTGTGTAAAAGCTGGCCGTGTATAAAAGCTTGCTCTGTGTAAAAGCTTCTGTGTGCAAAAACCTTCTGTGTGAAAGCTTCTCTGTGAAAGAGCTTGCTCTGTGTAAAAGCTGGCCGTGTGTAAAAGTTTGTTGTGTGTAAAAACTTCTGTGTATATAAGATTCTCTGTGTGACAGCTTGCTGTGTGTAACAGCTTCGCTGTGTAAAAGCCTTTCCTTCGGGGCGTGAAGGCTTGCTGTGTGTAAAAGCTTGTGTGTGTAAAGGCTTCTGTGTGTAAAAGCTGTGTAAAGGCTTCTCTGTGTAAAAGCTTCTGTGTGTAAGAGCTTTCTGCGTGTAAAAGCTTTTCTGTGTAAAGGCTTTTTTCTGTGTAGGAGCTTCTTTGTGTGAAAGCTTGCTGTGTGTAGAAGCTTCTCTGTGTAAAGGCTTATCTGTGTAAAAGCTTCTGTGTGTAAAAGCTCGCCGTGTGTAAAGGCTTGGCTGCGTAAAGGCTTCACTGTGTAAAAGCTTTCTGTGCAAAAGCTTCTGTGTGTAAAAGCTTCTCTGTGTGAAAGCTTCTCTGTTCTCTGTGTAAGAGTTTGCTGTGTGTAAAAGCTTCTGTGTGCAAAAGATTCTCTGAGTAAAAGCTTGCTGTGTGCAAAAACTTGCTTTGTGTAAAAGCTTGCTGTGGATAAAAGCTTGCCGGTTTCTGTGAAAAAGCTTCTGTGTGTACAAGCTTCTCTGTGCAAAAGCTTGCTGTGTGTAAACGCTTCTCTGTGTCAAATCTTCTGTGGAAAGCGTAGGGGTCGCTTGCTTTGGCGCTGAGATCCGTTTTTGGAGCAGGTTTTCAGCTAGAGGAGAGCTGAGATGATTTGAGAGTGCGCTGAGAAGAGCTGAGATGAGGTGTGACGATCTGACAAGAGCTGAGATCAGCTGAGGAGGTGTGAGAAGAGCTTAGAAGATGTGAGAAGAGGGAAGAGGATCTGAGAAGACGTACGATGAGCTGACATGAGCTGCGGAGAGCTGAAAAGAGCTTTGAAAATCTGAGAGAAGCTGAGATGAAAAGAGATGAGAAAAGCTCAAATGACATGAGAAGAGAAGAGAACAGTCGTGATCAGCTGAGAAGAGCTGAGAATGGGAGAGAAGACATGAGATGGGATGAGGTGAGATGCGGTGGAAAAAGCTGAGAAGACATGAGGTGAGTCAAGATGAGATGGGATGACACAGACTGCGGTGACAGTGGATGCAGTGAGCAATTTCCAAGGGAAGCTGCGATGCGATGAGATCAGGTGAAATGAGAAAAGTTTCAACATTCAAAAGACATGGCATCAGATTGAAAGGCGAGAGTCGAGAGCTTGTTGCTGCGAAGCACAGGAGTCTTGTCTGTCACCTATAGGCACAGCCTTTGCTCCGCTCTATAGGCTATACTGTAAGCGTTTCAAATTTGAAACTTCCGTCCCCGGCTTGCCCAGGTACTACTTGTATAGGAACCCCTCGCTCGTGTTGCAGCTCAATATCACACCATGTGTCGGTTCTATCACTATCCAACAAACGAAAAAACCCTATGACAGCCCCACTGCTGACAACTCCAAGTATCCCTTGCAAAAGTACTCTTGTAACATCTGAGAACTGTAGGACCCTCTAGGACCTGATGTTAAAATTTGAGGTGAATCGAATTTGGAACCCAGAACGTTTCGGAACATTGTTGGAAATCGATGGAAATTGCATATCATTTTGGGCTTTCCCTTAACCTTTGTTTGAACAGATTTTATTTGAAGACAGAAAACATCAGAAAAACAATCTTCCATGTCTGCCCTGGATCATCCCCGGCCCTTTCGGCGTTTCTGACGACTACCAGGTTTTAATACGTTTTCTATTCTTTTTGTATCCTTTTTCTATCCTTTTCATTTTTTCAATGCATCACTGCATCACTGGATCGTTTGCAAATAACTCAGACAAGACATAGCAAGACCAAGGATCTGCAGTGCAAACAAAGCAAAATCACGGGAAATGCTCCAGGGCTTGCACATGTTCAAAGAAGCGAAGCCACCCATCACGTCCTCGGTGAGCGGAGCTGGCGTCTGGCTACCAAGGAGCAGCGTTGGGTCGTTGTGTGTCAAAGTCGTAGTGAAATGTGGTCTGAAAATGTCTGAAACAGCTATGCATCTGGCCAATGTCTTGAGTAACATTTCCCTGGATTGTCTTCCAGGCACCTCAGGCACTTGAGCATTGGAGAACGCAAGTGAATCGAAATAACAGTGAAAATCAACGGTTGAAAGATATTCTCATCACCTGAGTTTTACACGGAGAACGCTGCCATATTTCCGAACCAATCGCTGCTTCACTTGCTCAAGCGCACGACGAGCTGGTCTCTTTGCACGCTCCTGACTTTCGGAGTCTGAACTTTTGACATGTTGAACAACTGTTGTGGCACCTCTTGAAACCCAGAATAGGTCTGAATTGGTCTAGTAGTATGGTCTGGTACGAGTACGGTGTGGGACCGGATGTTCAAGGTTCGCACGTGTTCTGTTGCACTTCATTCAAATACAATAAAAAGATCCAAAAAAAACATATTAAACTCGCAAGAAATTCAGCCGCCTTTGAAGCGCAAAACCTCCTGTCTCATAAAATTAAAGTATGCAAGTAAAAGCGGCTTGTCCAATGCTTGTGACGATAGGCTCGGCTCAGGTGATATCTGCAACAAGATCAACGAGGAGAGCTTGACATTCGAACGTTTAGCAGGCTTTGGTCGCATGTGGTCGCTGATCCTTATATTCCCTATATAGGGATGAATAGGGATGAATAGGGATGCCAAATCGGCAGTTGCAACATCCTTGATTCGAATTACGAGCAACGAAATGTTGTCCAGCAGAAACCTTCGCACTTGGACACTCAAACCGACTCAAACCTCACATATGTTTCGCATTCTATGTCCATCCCTGCGCGATGCAAAAAACTATACCCCTGCGGCACTCCAGAATGGCAAACCGCGCCGCGACGACCTCACAAACCTTCATGAAAACTCTCTGCATATTCATTTCAAGTAATTTCGATATCTCAAGACCAAAACCTCCTGTAATCTTCGAGGTGATCATTCCTTAGCCTTGAGCTACGGCAGTGCTGTATCTCTCACCGTCACCTTCCAACGCTTTGTCGGCCTTGTATGGAATTGTGGGAACCTGGAAGATGCCTTGAATCATTTTGAGTCATCATGAAGCCTATCTGGGCTGAAAACACCAAATGCTTCCACTGTTGGAGAAGAAGGCTTCACAAAAGGTGCTTCACTGTTGCATTAGGTGCTCAAGCAAGTCCTGAGCAGCATGCTGTAAGCCGCCTGGAATTGTATCGCCCTGTTCCTGCAATTTGGCGCAAAGTGCTACCTATGTTGCAAGCTGTAAGACTCGAATCAGTGAGAGATGCTACAAATGATTACAGGTGTCATGGAGCAGGCCGGTTAGTTCCCACGATCAGGGGATTGATGACACTGCACTGAGAATCATGAGCCCACTTCAACAATCTGCACTTACTCAGATTGGTCTTGCTCTTCACGCCCTAAACACGAGATCTGAAACCACAGAAATGGCAGTTCCTAAGTGACGAGTAGATGCATGTGCATATCCTGTTTTATCCGGTATCCTTTTATCATGTGCGAATATTATTCCCAAAAAGATCCAAAAAGCATGTCCACGCTGAATTGCAAAATGCATCAAACAAAGCAAAGTGTGTCACACTGTTTGGCCTGCGCATTCTGTTGCATTTGACGGCGTGTCTGTGTAGCAAGCATAGCATCTTCGGCAACCTCGCCGTCAATGAGAGACAGCCTGATCTCGTCGGTGCGCTTTGGATCCAAGAACTCCATCAGGCGAAAGATTCCGTCTGTAGCTTTCACTTCGTGGCAAAGCATACGAAAATCCTCTCTTGAAACGATGCCCACACCATCCACATCCACTTTTTCGAAGGCATCTTGGAGACTCCCGAAGCGTTCTTCGCACAGATCCTTGAACTTTTCCAACATTGCCGGAGTTCTTGGATCAAGGCAGTCCAGGCTGATCTGCTCAGTTTCTTTTGACATGCATGCTTGAAAAATCTTTTCTGCAACAGTTCGTAGTGCATGTTCGCCTCCTTCGGCTGGCATCTGTCCAGCTCTTTTCATGCCTTTCATCAAATGGTCGACATTCTCGATAGCATACTTGAGCTCAGGATCCAATGCCAAACGCCAGGCTTTTGCAATACCTTGGCCGTGAAGTTGACAAATGCTGAAAACACCAATACTTTGATGATCTTTCCGGAAATTCGTGGATCCGGTTATGTAGGTGCATTGATCTGAAATCTGAACACTTTTGTGGGGGAAACATTTGAGATTTACCTTATGCAGAATCTACTTGGCACCTGTACGCGCTGACATTACTTTGCCGCTGCCAAGGTGCTACCAAATTTGTTTGTAAGTTTGCGTAGAAACTCTTCCTTCGCATTTCGAGTCTCTTTCTTCGTCTGCTGTTCCTCCAAGCAACTCTCCCGAAGACTATCTTGTTTTGCCAACAATTCTTTGGCCGGTGGGATGACAACGGAGGCAATCTTCTGTTCTAAAAGAGCTTGGCGATTTTCCGCATATTTTTTCAGAAATTGTGGAACCGCCTTTTCTTCGCTGCGTTGCTCGTTCAGGATTCGCAACGTCCGCGTGTTTGCATATCCCGTATTTCCTGGATCCAAATGTCTCAGCAAACGTTCAGGATCTCCAGGATACTCGATGGCGTCCATCACTTTGTAGAACTCTTCGTTGTCAACGGGTGCACCAGCTTTCTTGCTTTTGCCCGGGCCAGCTGCGACTTCAGATACCTGACAATCAAGACAAAGCAAGTAAGGTATTGGAGTCTCTGAAGAGCGTTGAAGAATCAAAAAAAATGGTCAGGCTGCCTCAGGCTATTTGCATCCCATCACGGCAATCTAGTCAGACTCTATCGCCGGCTGCTATGAAAATGTGCCAGCAGTATACTTGGGACTTGATCATATCTGATGTCCGACTTGTCACAAAAAGGATATATAAATAGGACCACTCAAGAAGTGAGCCAAGCAGAATCAACACGGGGGAGTACTTCTATCATGTGATGAAGAGCTTGTGACATTGGCAAAAGCTATACTGTAGTACAGATTAATATAGTAGTAAGAGTTTGTTTTGGAGTGACAAAAACATATTACTTCATGCGAGCGCCATGACACGAATGCGTGACCTGCTAGTTTTTGTGCCGTGGTCTCCGGGTTTGCAGAGGTGCTGTCCTTTCTTGCACTTTGTGTTGATGAAAATTTTGAAAGTTGTGCACTCTGCGTTGACTGCCAGCAAGTGACATGCGATAACTGGGCACGAGATCGCCCTCTGATAGCAAACTGATTCAGTTTCAGCTTTAGGCAATGCAGAAATGTACTGAACATGTGTCCCAGCAACCTCAGCAAACCACCATTGAAACACATACACGCGCGTCAGAACAGGAGCAAATGCGTTAAAATGCAAGCCTTGAAAAGACAGACTAAGACAGACACACACACATGCACACACATGTACGCACAGAAGGTCACAAGGCACGAACAAAAGTCAGAATGTCATCCCTGGATATCTTTGGTCTTTTAATCCTCGTCAATTGCATTGGCAAACCATATTTCACTCACTTTCAGTCAAGGGCTGATATCTGCACATATCTGAACTATGTTTGGCATTAGTTGTCTGTGTTGGCTGGCAGTGTGCATTTTCTAGGAAAGTGCGTGCCAAGAGGATGATCGTGGGGGGCAAAAAGGGAAAACTCACGACGCAGCAGAATCTGCAGCTGGAAAGAATTCTGTATAAACAAACGCACAAACGCATGGATTCAGTCGTTACCCCTTTTATGGACCTGCTTGATCCTCAACCTTGGGAACCAAGGATGATGATATCAAATCCCAGAATGCAAGACAATCCCACGATCCTGTGATCATCAACAAACAATCAAGATTGAAGAAAGGTATAAACTCTAGCAGGTGTTCGCACAACCCTTTCATACCCTCTCGTCACTTTGTGCGTATCGGATTGCACTCGTTGTGGCGCGATGCTCATTTTAACATCGCGCGCGCAAGCCTCTCGTCACTCCGTGCATGTCAGACGTTCTTGTTGCGGCGCGGTGCTCATTCTGGTACGGCTCGCGGAACCCTCTCGTCAGTTTGCTTGCCTTGGACGGCTCTCATTTTAGTTGATTTTCAAAGATCCCGCCAAACGGATCTTCTGAGTTCTCTGAAAGGTCCTTCTATGACTGCGAGAGTTTCATAGTGCGCTCTTAGAAACTTAGATCTTGACCAAGGATTTGTAGAGGTCCTTGCGGGAAACAAGATTTTGTGAAGATCCTGCCGAAAGCCTCAAGACTTAAGAAGTCCTCGCGTGATTTTGCGCAGGTCCTTGTGAGAAGATCTTGTAAAATCTTGTAAAGCTCCTTGTGGAATCCTGTCTAAAAGGTCCTTGCATGAAGATCTTGCAGATGCCATGTATTACAGGTCCTTGCGTGTAGATCTGGACGATGCCCGGTATTAATGTATGAAAGCCTTTCGGGGATGCGCTTAGGAGGTTCTTGTATGCAAATCTTGTAAGGTCCTCTCTGGCAGGTCCTTCTGGGACGATTTTGTGAGATTCTCTTCGCTGGCATGAAGATCTTGATGAAGATCTTGTAGGTTCTTGCGGGAAGATCTTGTGAAGATCCTTCTGAACCTGCTGAAATCCTGATCGAGGTCCTTGCGTGAACTTGCGCAGGTCCTTGTGAGAAGATCTGGTGAAGATCCTGCAAAAGTCCTCCAAGAGGTCCTTGCAAGAAGGTCTGGAAGATGCCCGGTATTAACGGTATTATATAACGCGTGACGGTCCTGGGATGCTTTGAAATTATAGGAGGCTCTTGTAACAAGATTTGTCAGATCCTCTCTAAGCGGTCTTGTGGGATTCTCTTAGATGTCTTGGCATGAAGATCTTGGATCGGGGTCTTTCAGAGGTCCTGTGAAAAGATCTTGCGAAGATCCTGCTAAAATCCTCCAAAAGGTCCTTGCATCAAGATCTTGAAGATGATCTGTGTTAGACTTGCTTGTATGAAAGCCCTTCTGGGATGCTCTTAGAAGGTTCTTCTACGAAGATCTCGTAAGATCCTCTAGAAGGTCCTTCTTGAACGATCTTGTGAAATTATCTCAAAGGTCCTCGTGTGAGGTCCTGGTCAGTAGACATAGCGTTGCTTCTTGTGACCAAACAAGTTCCTGCTGCATTTCCGTTAATGTCGAACCTGATCTGCTACTGTTTCCGCAGCTACTGTTGCTTGTATCTCCTAATTACATTGATTTCCTACCCCCACGCTGTTTGGGGTCTCTTGCCGAGGTGATTTTGGTCAATGCATGCATGTTTCAATTTGTAATCTGACTGAGTGATTATATGACACTTCTCGCACATTCAGACTGCCTGGATCAAGGTAATTATCTTCTTCCCAGCGAGGTTCTTGAATTCTCGGATTTCCTGCTGTGCAAGCTTTGCAAGATGGCATATTGCAAACTGCCACACCCCCCAAACATAAGACAGTTTGACCCTGCCTCTATTACTTCCGGGCACAAGTCTTTGAACCTGTCAGATACCCGAAGCAGCAAACTCGACACAAGGTTGCAAGCATGACTAGGTCTGCGCAAGCTGCGAAAAGTACATCTGGTAAACTCGCAGCAAACAGACCCTGTACTTACTGTACTTCATCATGCAGCTCAAAAATGTGTTGGAAATCACCTAAAGAGTGAGCTGCGTTTGCGAGTTTTCAATTTTGAGACATACTGTGCGCTACAATACAATTTTGCTGAACTTCCACCGACTCAATCATTCTAAACCATCCTCTGTGAACAACACTGCACAAATCGAAAAAGAGGAAATATGCCGGAGGCCAACGGAAGAGTTCCAGTGGAGTCTGACAAACTGCTTACCAAAACCACAGAAGCGCCAAAAATAGATTTGTACACCTCTCAAACTGTATCAAACTCTCTCAAAATCCGAAATCATGTTTCTGTCATTTCTAAAGCAATAAAGCAAGTCAAAGCAGGCTCACGGAAAGCCATGTCGAGACCAAGCCTCACTGACTGCTTCTTTTTCAGACCCAGCTCTTCCTGAGACCAAATTATATGCAACGCATTCTATAGGTATACATTGGTCATAAAGTGTCACTATGAATTGGGGCTGTCTGTTCCTTATGCATACAGGAGCGAAACGTAGTGTACTGTAGCCACCAACAGGCTATATATCTGTTCTTGTGGTTGGAACTCTGGAAAGGGATGTTTTTTCGCTTTATGTCCTCCAGGTGTCCGTTGTCTTGTAAGATTTCGGACAAGGAACCCAAAGTTTATTGGTGTTGCCGGTGTAGCCTAGAACAGCCATCGAAGTCTGGAATTCTTTCCTCCCAAGAAACAATATCTCTGGATTGCAAATTGGCACATCAAAGCACAGTGTCACACCACATCACACCACAATCCGCGATGCCAAATAAATGCAAATCCGCCTACACCGAAAGTGCTCGTGTTCTCGTGCAGGATTTTTTTTGCATTTTGCAAGCGCTACAGCTGTAAGGAGTCGCAACCTTTCTTGTGCTCCAGAATGCTGGGTTCTTGCACATCATCGTGGCGAAAGCCCAGATTTCCAAGCATACAGTACCAACTACAGTTGCGTCCTCTCATAGTGTCGAAAAGGAAGCTTCAAATCGGGTCAGTCACCAACCTAAAAATACCTCCAGAGAACAGGGGATATATAAAGGATTATAAAGGTTTTTGAATGCAATTTTTGCGAGGAAACAAGAAAATATCGGGTCCAAATCAAAGAATGCTGGCTCAAGCTGACCCCAAATCTGTCAAGCATGCCGGCTTTTAATCCCTTTGCCTAATTCCTTTCCTACTTTTTGAAGGCTCTGACAATTGGGCTCGGTGACATAGGTTTAAAATGGTTTAAACATGGTGAAAATACCCGAGATTCACCCAAGCACTTGAATCCACAAGTCTGAGAGCGCTTTGTCGCGAAGCGATGCAAATATGCCAAGGAGATCAAACGAGCGACAAGACCGTGTTTCTATGGAATGTTTGGACACTCTCGGCACAATGCTTTGACTTCTGATCGAGACACTCTGAATACATTTATCACATTGGCACGTTGTCTATCACTGCGTCCACGCCTCTTCAACTTTCCTTTTGCATGTATGTCAAGCAAATTGGCCCAGGCACGAATGGGAGAGTCGAATCTCTCCTGGTCAACCCAATATAAGTCTTGTGCATACAAAACTGCAAAGGTTGCCAACATTCGACAATATCCAATCTATCTATCTATCTATCTATCTGTCTATCTATCTGTCTATCTATCTGTCTATCTATCTGTCTATCTATCTGTCTATCTATCTGTCTATCTATCTATCTGTGTATCTATCTGTCTATCTATCTATCTATGTGTCTATCTATCTGTCTATCTATCTATCTATCTATCTATCTGTCTATCTATCTGTCTATCTATCTGTCTATCTATCTGTCTATCTATCTGTCTATCTATCTGTCTATCTATATCTATCTGTCTATCTGTCTATCTATCTCTATCTATCTGTCTATCTATCTGTCTATCTATCTGTCTATCTATCTATCTATATCTATATATCTATCTATATCTATCTATATCTTCTTATCTAATCTCTATATCTCTATATCTATATCTAATCTATCTCTATCTATCTATATCTATCTATATCTATATCTATCTATCTCATATCTATCTATATCTATCTATCTCTATCTATCTATCTATCTATCTCTATCTATCTATCTATCTATCTATCTATCTATCTATATCTATCTATCTATCTATCTATCTATCTATCTCTATCTATCTATCTATATCTATCTATCTATCTATATCTATCTATCTATCTATATCTATCTATCTATCTATCTATCTCTATCTATCTATAATCTATCTCTATCTATCTCTATCTATCTCTATCTATCTCTATCTATCCCTATCTATCTATATCTATCTATATCTATCTATATCTATCTATATCTATCTATATCTATCTATATCTATCTATATCTATCTATATCTATCTATATCTATCTATATATCTATCTATATCTATCTATATCTATCTATATCTATCTATATCTATCTATCAATCTATCTATCAATCTATCTATCCTATCTATCCTATCTATCTATCTATCTATCTATCTATCTATATCTATCTATATCTATATCTATCTATCTATCTATCTATCATATCTATCTATCTATCTATCTAATCTATCTATCTAATCTATCTATCTAATCTATCTATCTAATCTATCTATCTAATCTATCTATCTAATCAATCTATCTAATCTATCTAATACATCTATCTATCTATCTATGTATCTATCTATCGAATCAAATCTGATCTAATCAAATCTGATCTAATCTAATCTATCTCTATCTATCTCTATCTATCTCTATCTCTATCTCTATCTATCTATCTATCTCTATCTATCTCTATCTATCTCTATCTATCTCTATCTATCTCTATCTATCTCTATCTATCTCTATCTATCTCTATCTATCTCTATCTCTATCTATCTCTCTATCTATCTATCTGTCTATCTGTCTATCTATCTATCTAATCTATCTATCTATCTATCTATCTGTCTATCTATCTATCTATCTAATCATAATATATATATATAATATAATATCAGTGAAATAAATTTATATAGTTCACTGAATCATGTGGTCGTTGCGCAACTATGCGCAACTGACACCCTGTCGCCAAATGCGGCCAGGAGGTCAAAGAACAATGTTCATGGACTACCTCTGAAATGTGCAAAGTGTACACGGGCCAAACTGGTTTATAGGGGCCGAAATGGTTGTGTCACATCTTAATATCTTATGCTCGTTTGTAAAGCAGAACCCAAACACCCACGCCCAAAACCTGTAAGCGATCAAAAAGGGAGGAGTGAAAAGAGCACTTCAACAAACACTGCACTCAGCAGCCTGGAACAAAGCTGATCGGAATGCGACCCTAGTGGTTGGAAAGAGCGACATGCACAGAAGTCCTCCAGCATATCGACAATTTCCTGCAGCGCATTGAGTATGGATTCGCTCAGCGCAAATGTTTCGCTTGCTTTGAGTTTGAATAAAAGTTCCATAGGAAAAGAAAATGAGTAAAGTTTAAGATAAAGGCATAACTTTCCCCAAATGCACTCAAATCACCATGAATTTTCCATAATTTTCCCATTGGCCCATGCACTTTGTTTGCCTGGCGATGCTGGCGTTGCTCTTCAGGAGGGCGGTGAGTAGCTCCACATTGCTCGATCTGGCATCTCAAAGAAAGGCAAAGTAAACTTCCCAGGTGAAGCGCGGATAGAGCGTGGAAAATAAAGAATTGTTAGCCCCTACACTTGCCAAGACTTGCATGTATCGCCAGATGTTGCAAGGCTATTTATCCACTACGTCACTACGTGTACCAACAAGAATCAATAAAATTACAACATATTACAACATATTACAACATCACAACAAGCTCAAGCTCAATCGCGGTTATGACTTGCAATCACCTACGAGAAAAAAACACTGACCCTTAAAAGCCGCAGGTGGAATCTTCATTTTCAGTGTAGTCTTCAGCTGACGACAGGCACATCGCATTTCCAACCATGGCAGCACTGCTGCTCTTCGCATGATGGTTTTTCTTTCTTTGTCATACGGCTCCTTTTCCATGAGCTGGTCCTGCTCCAGGAGGGTCGGTGCAGCTGCAGCCATGCTGAAACAACCAATGTGCAGGCTGCACTCCTCGGCTTCTTTGCACCTTGACAAGCCGAAGACGTTTTTTGTAACCTATCCCAAGGAGCGATGGGTTGCACCATGTTGCGTCTCATGATTTGGGGCAAGTTTCTGTCCTTTTGGCCCTTGTGTGGTAGAAAAAAACGCCTTACTTAAATGCTCATGACAAGCTGAAGGAGCCTCCGGCTCGATGGCTTCCAAAGAAATTGTACCAATTCCTTAGCGCAATCATCACAGGCAAATCCAAAGCACAATAGACCAAACAAATTGCAGCTTAAACTTTGGTTCAAAATGATTAAGCCGTCTTGGCTTGGTCTCTGGGAGGGCTCATAGAGTATTGGCGCAAGAGCATGATGGAAGCGCGTGTGGCACTGAACTCTTGCTACTGTGCAAATTCTGCATTGCCTAGCAGCCTAGCCATGGCCTAGCCTAGGGGGCATTACATTTTGGTCATATCTTCGGAGTTCTGCTGCCCTGTCCAAGTCCCTCCCGTATAACAACCACGTAAGATCACGTAAGCATGTTTTCCCAAGAATTTTCTTGCAAATACATCTGCCAAAGATCCTTTTGAGTCGGCGTACTCAAAGAGTATCCTTCGATTTTTCTGCATGTTGATCTCGATGCAAATACGGGCAAAGTCCTCAAGAGTTCATTGTCAAATTGAGCTTTGTTTGGAATGCTACCTTGACTAAGTGCGCTGACTTTGTTTGATCTTGGGATCTTTTGTGATGGGGTCCTGCTAATTAGAGTAATGGCTCAATATGTTTCAATGTGTTTCAACATGTTTCAATATGTTTCAACATGGTTCATCTATCCAATCTATCTCGTTCTCCTCCTCTCTTCGGTCATGTTCTCTCATGTTCAATCTCATGGCCTTTGCGCAGCGCTTGCAAATACAGCATTTATATACACCACTTGGATTTATTATAGGCTGGTGTATGCCGTTGGTTATTAGATGTTTTTAGTATCTGTAAGCCAAGTGTTGACATGGCTTTGAGATGTTTTGAGTGCTTTGCAGGTCAGATTTCCCATTCGCTGATCGTTTGGGCATCTGTATCCTTTTTCGGTTTTCCCAGGTACACGCATTTCCCGCAGTGCAGTAGCCAGGGAAGAAACCACAAACAACGCTTGATGGTGGATTTTAGGGTCAACGTCAAACAAACCTTATCAAAATAAAGCATGGCCTCCCTTTCTTAGGGCACTGTAGCCCTCGACACTGTGCTAACAGTTTGTTTCGGCATTGAGCCTGGCAAGTCTACATTGTATGTCTATGCTTCTAACCCGTGGTTTGCACCACCGCGAACAGCGCCTTTCAGCGCAGTCATGACGTCCGTCCAACAACAAGGCCATCCTCCCTGTACTGTCTTGAACTTGTTTGGTTTTTGATAAATCTTGTTTATTCCGCACAGTCACCACAGTCTCAGCTGACTAGCAATGCAGAGGTTTGCCATGAGAGGTACAGAACACGTCGAGTCCCAGCTCCTCATGATCTATCAATGGCTTCTCTGGCAAGTCCATCTCCAAAAACGCTCTTTCCACAGATCCTGCAAAAGTTATTGCAAACATCTGTGAGCCTTGTCCGATACAGTACTTCAATGAATTGACAAGGACTAGTGCAAGGTATTGCTAAAGCACGTCAAAGGAACGGCTCTTGCCGCTTCCCAGGCAACTCTTTTGAAGTTGAACGACCTGCTCTTTGGATCTTCTTGAGAAAAGTCACTTCGGGTAAACAAACAAGCGAGGCCCTCACCGTAACGATCTGCACAAGCTTCAAGGAAACTCTGCTTTGCCTGCCAAAATTATTGAAGACTCTATGATTCTATAAGTCTATAAATGTCTATAAGTAACACGTATCTATAGTACTGTAGCTCCTCAGTTCTTGATTGGATCAAGCATGATTCGGAAGGCTTTCAAAGACTTCCAAGGCAAAACACACATGACTTTGGTTATCTGCGATGGGTCTCATCCCTTGACCTTATGCTCTCATTGATGGCCTCCACGATTGCGGGTTCCAAACGTTCCAAAAGAAGGACTTCTTCATCTTCGGCCACAAGTTCCTGAACATAGTCTGAAGATGTCTGAAGTCTGAAGCCCAGACACTGCCCTCGTGATGTCCCAAAACGTCCAAAACCTATTCGACGGCCTCCCACAAGCCGTCCAAATCTCCGCTGAACTTCTGCTTCTTTGCTGCAGCCTGGCGTTTGCTGCTGCTTCCAGAAAGAATCAGAAAGACAAGTCACTAAGTGGAGAAATCTTCTTGATCTTTGCAGTTGGCTCCTCGAACACTTCCCAAGTGCATGTTTCTTCCTCCTGGGCGCTAAAGACGATCTGCCACAAAATGTCCAAGAACGTCCAAGGGCCGACAAAGTCTGTGGGAGGGACGGGATCAATTGCAACCCGCCAGCCTGCAATCACCTCAGGATGTCGCAACGATTTATGCGAATGTGGCTGAGTCCTTTCTGGCATTGCTCAAATTTGCTCAACAAGGGGAACGGTTGGAAGTCACGTTGCTACAGCTCAGCTGATTTCTGGCCAAAGACCAAACATCTACCTTGTGAATCCTTGTGATACCTTGCCCATTTCTGTCCATCTCTCGACTGTGAGAAGCCTGCCAGGTTTTTATTTTCCAGACGCACACTAATCTGAGCGGAACGGGTTTCCCTATTGTCAAAGGCCTCAAACGGAAACGACGGAAACGCAGGATATTCCTGCAATTGCATGAGTTGAGGGCTGGAGAGAAGAGCATCCGGTCCAATTCTCTATGAAGCTATTCTCCATTGTGGGCTTTCGTATATTTGATTTGACTTTCAGCAGTTAAGTAGTAGTCGTAGTCGTTACCAGTTATTGTTGTCATTGCATACATGTTGATGGTTTTCTGATGTTTTCTGCATGGAAATAGTTGCAGATCTCGACAGGCTTTGGGATGTGCTGTGACCCACAAGTGTAGAGGCATGATTTGCTGAGACCACAGCACTCCCATATCGATGTCGAAGAAGGTTTCTGAAGTCTCCTCAATGCAGGAAATGTGCAAATCAACAAATGTGCCTCCCAAATGGATGTGAAACACTTGCAAATTTTGCAGAGATTCTGAGGCTTTGACCCACCAAAAACAAAAACTCCAGGTGTTTCAAGCATACTTCATTGAGTCTCATTGATCTCCCCCAACTACAGCAAGTAATTGGCACAAAATCTCCACTCAGTCTCAAGCCAACAGCTCTCTTCCGTGCGAGCTCTTTGGCTCGTTGCTGCAAGGCCTTTTGAGCGTGCTCTTGGGACGCCAAGTGTACATAGGAGTCATCTTTTGTACATGGAGCCACATAAAATAACAGACAAGCAAACATACCTGTACCTTCAAGTAAATTTGGCTACGAGTTCTTTTGAGTACAAGTTCCAGAAAAAGCTCAAACCGTTTCAAACTAAAAGAAAAATCCACTTGAGAGTGACTTGTTTTTTGATGTTTGCACTCGTTTGTGGATATTTGCGCTTGAACTTGCACTTTTGAAAAGGCTTGAATTTCTTGTGCTCCATTGTCTAGCCTGCAAATGTGCAAGAAATGTTCAAGTTTGAATTCTCCGCTCGGATTTGTGTTCCGCTCGGATTTAGAATTTAGGTACTAAATCCGAAATAGTGTATCGAACAGCGGGGGAGGCATAAAATTAAGTAACAATCGAAGGACCAGGTATTTAAAATATGTATATATGCTGCATTACTGTATGTATTCAATGTATTGATATGATACTAATATAATATATATATAATTATATATATATAATATAATTATATATATATTAATGATGTACTTCGCAACTCGAAGCGCTTCGCAACTTGTCAATGCTGTCAAACTGCTGTCAAAGATGGTCAAAGTGTGTCAAACTGCTGTAGGAATTGTAGGCCAGTTATGAGCACTTTGGTACCTTCAATTTGAGGCCCAAACTTGGCGAGCGAGAGTGCGCTCCTCTCGCTCAATCTGCGTTAAAGTTTTGGCTTGGGGCTGCAGCATCTGTCAGCCATGGCGTGGTCTAGGCGAAGCCGACAGAGTCCTCCATGACTTGAGCCAAACTGCCACACACTCTGCGTCCAGCTTCGAAAGTCAATGCTGTCAAATTGTATCAAATTGTCAAATGCTCCACTCGCTCCACTCAGCCACACTGCTCTGCGCACCCATTTTTGGGTCACAATGTCTTCGGACAATGGCGAACCCGATACCAAATGGTATCAGCTGCTGGACAGCCCTATTGTGGCAAACGACCAGCACGCTGCAGAGCCTGTCATGAGACAAGGAAAAAACATGAACATGAAGTCACCATCTTCGCGCGGCATATGACAGTGAGTGTCTATCTGTCTGTCTATCTGTCTGTTTGTGTGTGTGTGTGTGTGCAAGCTGCGTTCCACCAAACGGCCGATGGAGCTGGAAGGACTCAGGACACCGCAATCTTAATAAACTTCGACATATCAGGATATCAGGAGAAATATTACCGTGACTAATGCCACAGTTGGGTTTGGGCACAATGTGCATATATACACAAACATACATACATATATATATATATACACATACATACAATACATGTGTATGTAGGTAAGTATCTATCTGCCCATCTTTACATGCGTACATAACAACATAATGTAACGTAATGACATGACATTGTACGTGTGTAAACATAGCACAACATAGCGTTGCATAACATAAAAAGAACATATTGGCATAACCTTGCATCACATTACATTGCATCGCATTACATCGCATCGCATCGCATTACATTACATTACACTAAATTACATATACACACAATTACACTGCATAACACTGCATAAATCTGCGTAACATTACCTTTATTCACACTACATTACTTCACACTGCATGTCACTACACTGCACTACATTGCACTACGTTGCATTACATGCAGTTGAATGACAATACATAGACATAGCATTGTATGATATTGTACCTGTAAGTATGTAATGCAATGCAATGTAGCATTATGAGACATGATGTAGCATTAATGAAATGTAGTATGCTGCAGTGCAATGCGATGCGATGCAATGTGACGTGTATGGTCTATCACAAAATACAATAAAGCACATATATATATAATATATATACTAGGCGCAGATGACACGGGACTTTGCGGCCGATTTAGCCGATGTTTTTTGGCACATGACATGGGATTTATGTATCGATTTTGCTATGGTTTTTTATTTTACACATGACATGGGAGTTATGCGCCGACCTAACGGGCAGGCATTTTTCCATTTTTTTGACAGATGACATGAGAATAAGTGAGCCAATTTACACATGACATGGGACTTTACACCGCGGGAGATGGGACATCCAAGGTGGGAACTGGCAGGTAGGGAGATGGGAAGAGGAATTTTACCACAGGAGATGGGACATCTAAGGTGAGGAGGTGGGACATCCAAGATGGGAACTGGCAGGCGGAACTGGCAGGTAGGGAACAACAGGAGATGGGACATCCAAGGTGGGAACTGGCAAATAGGGAGACGGGAAGAGGAATTTACCGCAGGAGATGGGACATCCAAGGTGGGAGCTGGCAGGTAGGGAGATGCGAAGAGGAATTTACCACATGACATGGGACTTCCAAGGCCGTA